CACGTGGGGCTGCCAAGAGCGCAAGTAACAAGCTTAAAAACACATCACGTAAAGGAGGGAGATGTGTTGCTTTTAACCAAAGGAACGCTGACGTCAGCAGGAACACTGGTGGCCCCGGTCCAGCTGGTTGCTCAGCCTACGCCCCCCGCACATACCTGCTGGCTGTCACTCCTGGGTCAGGAGGGCATGGGCGTCTCCAGCTTCTGGTCTCAGAATGCAGGCAGGAGTGGAGGAACCCAGAGGTGGCCTCCCACGCCAGGCCCTGGTGTCACATCCCAGACCCTGTGTGTGTGTGCTGTGATGTTCCCCACACAACAGAAGCTGCCGCTGGGCTCTTGCAGCCTCTTGCAAAGACAGTTACTGGCTGGATGATGGGCAGCAGAGGAGATCTGAGACTGGCTGTGGCCATTTCGACCTTAGCTGCCATCACACGCAGGCACAGGACAGGAACAGAGGGGACACTCAGGAAAGGGGTGATTCTATGTTTGAGCCAAGTAACAAAGGGTCAAGGAAAGAGCAAGCCCCTACTTCTTACGATCGGCTCAGGAATCTCCCATAACCCCTCAGGGCTGGGAACAAAGACGTTATGTGCTTCCCTGATTGGACTATGCCGGTCTGAACAGCCAGAGGGAAAAGCGAAATGCTTTTTATCCAGAAATGCTAAAAAGGAGCTCCAAACTAGGAAAATACGGACTAGAACAGGAGACAGACACTGGCAGGGCCTGCTACCAGCACAAAGCACAAGGTTTTCTTCGGTGGTCGGGGGGAGGCGTCACCTTTCTGGGTGGGGATGAGAAAGCATCCCAGATGGCAGCCGTTTTGTGACCACGCAGGGACCAGCTTGAAGATGGAGCTGATGGGATGTGTGTCAGTTCAGGTTCAACCAATGAAGCAGAACCGGAGGAAACAGCATGTATGAAGGTCAAAGGCCACTTGGGTGTGGCAACTAAAAATCCTAAGGATTGCGAATGACGTGTGATTTGGAGCAAGTCGCTTAATCTCTCTGTGACTCAGTGGCCTCTGAAGGATGATAACAGAATAAGCACATTAACGCTGGCACAGGGCCCAGAGCAAGGGAGCACTTCCAGAGTTGGCGATCGTCATTATTACCTGAGTAAAAGTGCAGGAAAGGACCGGTCAGGATGGCTGGAGAGCTCGGCTGGCACCAGGCTACAGGCCTCAGGGAACCAGGGAAGAATTTCAAACAGGGGCTGGCCAGAGGGGATTTCTGCTTTAGACATGGCTCCTGGGAGGAGAAAGCACTTTGGGCAGAGACATATAAATCGTGAGGCAAATGTGGAAAAGGATTTCGAAGCCACTTTCCATGGGAAAATGTTTCAAGAAATGGGGTCATTGCCTGCCAAAGAGAGCCAAGTCTGTTTGGGGGGCAGGGCTGAGTGGTGGTGACAGAGTGAGGTATGAGCATGGTCTTAGACTCACCACAGGCCTGTTCTGTGGAAGAAGGCACAGGAGTTTTAGGCCAAGGATGGCAGCACCAGGCAGTCATCACATCTCACCTTCACCTCGGGAAAAATTTGTATCGGTCAGAGCTGCCCAGAGACTGGAGGGCGGCCGTAGGAGGTAATGAGCTGCCCATCCAGGGAGGTAAGCAAGCAGACTCTAGATGAGCGCTTGACAGGGAGGCTGTAAGGAAGCATGGGCACCAGGCAGGTTGATGTAGGTTATTTCTAGGTTCCTCACAACCTTAATCTCTTTTATGCTACTGAACCCCAGAGAGGTCAGTCTCCTACGGTGGCTGCAACACATCACCACAGACTGAGTGGCTTAAGACAACGTAAATTTATTGTCTCACAGTTCTGGAGGTTAGGTGTCGATCATGGGTCGCACTGGACTGAAATCCAGGTCCAGGAAAGGCTGTGCTCCTTTTCTGGAGGCTTAGAGGAGGATCCTCTCCTGGCCTTTCCAGCTTCCAGAGACTTCCTGCATCCCTTCACTTGTGGCGTCCTCCTCCAGCAGCACAGTCTTCCAAATTCTCTCTCTCTCTCTCTCTCTCTCTCTCTCTCTCTCTCTCTCTCTCTCTGCGCCCCCCACACACCTCCATGCCCATCCCACTTCCCCAGCCCTTCCTCAACTCACAGATGGAACCACTGCCAGGGAGTGGCTCCTGGGGCACCGCGATTCCCGCCACATGCCCTGTGTGCTTTGTTTCGGGGAGTTAATTGCTTGGTTTGCTCTTCTACATGTGGACAGCAACCCCATCTCTCATTCATGATTCATCTCCACGGTCCGTCTCAGGAGACTCTCAATACGAAAACACGTGCCAGCAAACGAATGAAAAATCCATTCAAACAAAATGCTGGCATCTGACTGAGAAATACCTACCAGCTCGCTCCTTAGCTCTGGCTGTGGGTCTCTCCTGGCATAACGAGATTCCACGCACGATGGGGCGGAGGCCCCAGCTAAGACACTGTGGGGGAGAAAGAAACCTTTAGGAGGAGACAAAAGCTTTAGTCTGTGGGAAATTCCCGCCTGGATTTTTAATGTTCACATTCCAGACAGAGCAGCCTGATGCTGAAGGAGGAAGGGGCGGGGAAAGGGGCCAGGGAAGGGGGCTGAGGGGGTTGCGGGCGAGTGGCAAAGGGGACCTTTGTGAGCAGAGCCCCACCTGCACCCAGGGCAGGGTCTCGGGCAGCCAATGGGGCTGGTCCAGGCGGGCTGTGCTCATGGGTTTTTAATGGGCTGTGCCTCGCTCTGAGTAGCAAGATTAACAACCATCCGCTTAATTCAGCAAAGCCTTCCTGGGCATCCGCTGTACCCGGCTGGGTGCAGGGTGCTGACACGCAGAGATGAAAAGAAGCACTGGGTGGGTGAGGGAGACAAACGAAATCCGCCTAGCTCAGTGTTGGTGCTCAGGACACAGGGGCAGCTTCCAGTTTGTCCCAGGCGCCTGTCGACGACCACATACGGTGTCCTGAGTCAGATCTGCCAAGGCCACATTTATCTCAACTTCAAAGGGGCAGACCAGGCCTGCTTCCCAACGCGGGAACAGCTCCTGGATCTGGACGGCCCAGGGACTTGCTTTGGTGCCTGGGTTTGCTCTCTGCTTTGTCCTGAATCTGGGGCCACTCGACGAGCACATCCAGGAGCCCTGGGGCGTTTCGAAGGGGGCCTGGCGGCTGGCTGGGGCCTGCTTGTCTGCCAGGGAAGGAGTGAGGAGGCGCCTTCATCCAGAAGAAAAACATCTGTGTTTGCTGCTTGCACTTCCACTCTGCCCTGTCTGAGAGGGTGCCCAGGAGACGGTCCCCAGGTCACCTCGCTAAAGGTGTTTAGAGAACACACTTTCACCTGCAAAACAGGAAGACATGACTGGGATCCCAGCCTAAGGCTTCCACACCAGAAAACCAGATAAATAGAACGTCAGGGCTGGAAGGGGCCCCTGGCACTGCCCAGGGTGACACTGTTTATGGACAGGGACTGGGAACCGGCACTGGGCAAACAGAGCAGGAGAGGCTGGAGCCGGGGTTTTGTCCTCCACCCGCCCCATGTCCAGGACACCACGTCCCTGTCACTCAGCCCCCTGGCCCTCACCCATGGTTGTTTTGTTCTGGGGTGTGTGGCTTGCCCTGGCCCCTTTCTGCCCTCCCTTGAGAAAAACAGACACAGGGTGGAGCTTTGTTTCTCACTAGCTCTGCGACTTCAGACAGTTTTATAACTCCTGAGACCCTCAGTTTCCACCTCTGGAAATGGGAATAACCTCACCCACTTCACTGACTTTCTGGGAGACTCATGGCAGCTGCAACAACAGCTGCATAGTTGCGTAAATGATACTCCGTGTTAAGTAAGGACTTTCCTCTCTTTTGACTGCGGTTCCTTGTTGTTGCTTGTTCTTTGGCCCTTGGGCAGCCCAAGGGCCCAAACTCAACTCCGACTGCAACTCCTGCTCCTCCCCATGGGGGGGGGGCGGAGGTTAGGGGGGGGCCGAAGGAAGACAAGGCACAGAGTCCCATTTGTCTCGAGCTTTGTGACCTCAGACGAGTCGCTGGAACTTTCTGAGCCTCGATTTTCCCACCTGGAAAATGGGACTGTTTCCTGTGCTACCTGCCTCACAGGGACACTTGTAGGAATGGAGACGTGACATTCGCTCGGACATTAGCTCAGCATCTTTTATTCCTCATCATGTGCTCATCACCCCCATTTCACACCTAAGGAGACAGAGGAAAGAGTTAAGAAACTTGCCCAAGGTCATGGCCAGAAGTGAGTAACCATGTACTCCACCGAGCGCCCCAGAGGACAACGTACTCCCTTAACTGGTTCTGCTATAGGAGCGCGACCTGCGGAGCAGCCTCTGAAAGAACCGCAGTTGGACAACTGTCCCCTTACTCCCGTCCACTCTGTACCAGGGCCCGTACCGTGCCGGGAACTTGAAGCCGACTGGCTGGGGCAATGCTCTCACGTCCCCCAATACAGGTGCCAGCACAGCCCATCTCCCAGGTGCAGACTCACAGCTGCTCAAAGGGTAGGCGACCACCCAAGTTTCCCCTGGCTGGTCAGTGGTGGGTGGATGTTGACACCCAGCTGCCTGAGCCCAAGTCCCAAGTCACTGGTGCTCAATCCATCACTCTGGTCCCTTTCCCTCCTCCAGTTCTACTCTAGGAAATCAGCCAGTTTCACACCGGGTCCAATAGAATGGAGGCCCTCTGAGGCATCGCCCCTCATCCTTCTTTGTCTTCCTCTTGTCCTCGGCCCCCTCATCTGTTGGTCCCGCCACTGCAGGCAAAGCCCCTGCCGAGGGAGAAATTCCCATTGAAAGTGGGCAGAGGAAGGCCTTGCTTCCCTTCCAGGTGTCCTGCACACCCCCAGGCAGCCCCTCCTCTCAACAAGGGGGGCCTTTAGGTCTGAAAGGATCCAGTGTCCCTGGCCAGGCCAGGTGGGCGTGCTTGCTGGCCTCTGCTGGGCCCCACAGGAAATGGAGGCGTGGAGGACCACCCCCAAGCAGTTGCTTAAAGGGGCGGCTGGCCTGGGGCTGAGCTGGCCGCCTTCACATCATGATGCCCTCGCTGCTCCCACTGCTGCTGCTGCTTCTGCTCGGCAGCACCCCCGCTGTGCAGCCCGCCCCCCCTACATGCTACTCCAGGATGCTAAGCCTCAGCCGGGAGATCACGGGCGACTTCCAGAGCCTGCAGGCCACGGAGCCCTCGGAGCCCTCGGTGAGTCCCCTCCGGCCTGCGGAGGACCAGCAGGTTCAATGCAGACCTAGTTCCCAAAAAATTGCCTTTGCACCAGGAAACAAAAAATGCTATTTTTCTTTTCTGGTCAATGTTAATCTCAAGGGCATTTGTGCTTTAGCCCCATCCTGCTAAATATGGTAGCAGTGGTTTGCGCTTTCTTTTAAGTACCAGGAAAAGTAATCAAAGTCTTCGCAAGGCTTCGCAATTTGGGTTTGTAACTTGCTAGCAAATATGAGAGGATCTGTTGTAAAATATAAAAAAAAAGAAAAGAAAAAGAAAGCTCCCCATAGAGTTAGAACTCTGGAGTTAAGGAAGACCAAAGAATTAAGCTTACTAATACTCTTTACCAGCCTGCTGATTAACTAAGAGTGTGCAGTAAGGGGGGAACACCCGGAGCTGGGCTCCGTCCCCTACCTGCTGTGGGGCACACCTGAGCCTGAGTGTCCTGGTCTGTGAAAAGGGATTGCTGAGCACTCACCCACCCACCCCCTTTCGGGCAGCTGTGGAGATCCAAGGGGTGAATACAGACCTTTAGGACTCAGAGTGGTGCCTGCACTTGGGGACCCCAGGAACAGCAGCCACTGTTATCACCACTCTTCTAAGAAGACCCAGCGGCCCAGAGAGGGGAGGGCCAGCGGGCCTCCGGGAACTAGAATCTTGGCCTCCTGACTGCTTAGGCAGTGTAGAAGCAACACGAGTTAAACTTCATTAAAAGCTATGGTAAAATGGAAAAGTGTCCCTTTACCCCTTGTAAACACTTCAAACAAAATATAATGTTTCTCAGATGTGGGGTTTACGATACCCTAACACCTTCCTTGTATTTTCTTTTTAAAAGTTAAATAATGTTTACTTTTTGCCTATTTATAAAAGTCATAGCCTTTGTAAAACGGTTGGAAAACGCACAAAGGACAAAGAACATAAACATTACTTACAATTCTACCCCCTAGAGGTAACTACTGCCACAACATTCTGGGGGATAGTGTTTCAGCTTTCCGTCTATGCAAAGGTATGCACGTGTGTGTGTGTGTGTGTGTGTGTGTGCATGTGCCTGTGCATGTGTGTGTGTGCATGTGCATGTGTGTGCATGCACATGTGCATGTGTGTGCATGTGTGTGTGCATGTGCCTGTGCATGTGTGTGTGTGCATGTGCATGTGTGTGCATGCACATGTGCATGTGTGTGCATGTGTGTGTGCATGCACGCACGCGCGCGTGTGTGTGTATGTGAACAGATTGGATCAAACAGCACAGCAGTTTTGCAGTTTACTTTTCAATGACACCATCAAATAGATCAACATTCTTTCGCAAAACATTCTGTTGTATGTTTGCATTGCAATTTATCCAGATTCCTTGGTGTGAAATATGTAGAGCAAACACTTTTAAAGGCATCAGATTTTAAAATGTATAGGCTCAGAACTGCAGAGCTGGAAGGAAGTGGAGAGATTATGTATTCGAACTCTAATTTCACAGCTGGGAAAATGTCACACAGAAGGAGACCTGCCCAAGGTCACACAGGAATTTCTGGTAGGGCAGGACCAGAACCTGGGTCTCTGAACTTCAGTCTTACACAAAAAGTAAAACAGTGATATCAGCATGCATATATATATGCACTTTCATATTATTATAGTATATATTATTTATTACTAGATCTAGATGACAGTTATAGAACTGTTTAAATATGTAAATATATATATATATATATATATGTATGTGTGTGCATCTATATATAATATAACAGTTCCCTAACTCATAGTAGATGATATAAAGCTTGCTCTCTAAAAGTAAGATTCTGGGAGTACAGTTTTCTATTTTTGGAGGCATGTGGCACACAGTACGAGTATTGTACATGTCGGCATCAAGAACGTCCCCTGGGATCTGGGGCTGGGCTGGCTGTTTGGAGGGTTGGCAGAGAGTCTTGTGTGACCAGGATGAGGGTGTGTCCCTATGGGTGCCACGGTAACTCATATCCCTTTCTGCAGGAGCTGTGTGTGAGATACCTGCCCAGGCTGTACCTGGATATACATGTAAGAGAGGGCTACCTGCCTGGGGGAGGTGTGGGGGTGGGGAGAGACCCTGAGCAGAAGGATGCAGGAGCCCCCAGCTCCTGTCCCTCCGGCTACTGACTTCTCCCTCCCTGTCGTCCGCTCCCAGAATTACTGTGTGCTGGCCAAGCTGCGGGACTTCGTGGCATCGCCCCAGTGTTGGAAGGTGGCCCAGGTGGACGCCTTGAAGGACAAAGTGAGGAAACTATACACCATCATGAATTCGTTCTGCAGGAGGGTAAGTGACGCCATTGGAAGCTCTTTTTCTACGTGTTAAATCGGCCAAGACTTTTAGAAGAGGAGAGCTGGGAGGAGAGGGGGACAAGAAGGGAGAGAAACTCGTGGCGTGCTTCCAGGTCACAAAGCCTTTCCTCAGCCAGTGTTGCCCTTGGTGAGCGACGGGGACTCAGGACAAGGCCCCTCACCTCCACAAGCTCCCCGCTGATGTGGCGACAATACCCAGGACCACGTGCTAATGATATAAGACAGACTGTATCAGGAGCCAAATGGGGCAGGGCTGGGGTGAGAGGGCTATGGAATTCTGAGAACTCCAGGGGTCAGGGGAGACTTCTCCCGAGGAGGGGGCTTCAGGTGTGCTCTGTGATAGGAGGATTCTGGTAGAAGGGGGAGGAGGGGAGACAGAAAAGGCAGGAAGTCAGCGCTAGTTAACATGCAGAAAGTAGAATCATGTGACCCGAGGGACACGGGCTTCAGAATCAGACAGACCTGGGCTCCTGTCTCCATCTTCCTGCTTTCCTCACCTCCCTGAGACACAGTTTCCCCTTTTGTGACCTGGGGACAGGATAGTGCCTGCCTCCTGAGCTCTTTGGGAAGATAATAATAATTACACCCTGACCGTGTGTATATCGGGTGCTATAGTAGCTCTCTTGATCCTGAGAACCCCAGGAGGCTGACCAGACATAGAATTCCTAGCAGCATGCCTGGCCAGGAATAAGTCCTCAGGAAACTTTAACAATTAGCCATTAACTCATAATTTATGTGTTCATACATCAAAGATTTGTTATGCATTTCTGCCCACACCCATTTCACTCCTCATTCCGCTCTCTCCTTGGTCTGTGAGGGGGAAGACAGGAAGAAGACATCATTACAGCACCATCTGATAAGTGGTGTCACTGACTCTAAAGTGTTTGAAGGCGAGCTCTGGTGCTGTCTGTCATGCTGTCCCCAAAGCCTGGCCCAGAGTTGCTGCTCAGTAATTAAGGTTCATGCATTCATTCACTTTTTCACCCATCTATTCCTCTGGCCAACCAATGTATGAGTGACTTCAATAAATCGCGAGGAACATATAAGATTCTATGGGAATGTGAAGGCATGGGCAGCTCTTCTTGGGAGAGTAAAGGATGGGAAGTTTTTGCCCAAAGGGAACAACTGAAGTCCTTGAGGATCAGCAGGAATCCTATCGTCGTGCACGGGCTCAGCCGCCGCCTTCAGTAATGATCCTGCCCTTCGCACATCTTTTTCAGGATCTGGTGTTCCTGTCAGATGACTGCAATGCCTTGGAGTACCCAATCCCAGTGACCACAATCCTGCCAGATCGTCAAGGCTAAGGCAGCCCATACCAGAGAGAAGCCACGGGGACTGAATGGTGTCAGCTGCCCAGACACAATGGGCTAAAGCCATGGTCCCCTCGGGTCTCCCTGTTCCTGTAGCATCTGAAAGTGCCACCTGGTTTGTCCACGTTCTGGAGAGCAGGGACGGTGCTCTGACCCCGGAACTTACTTTGAACGTAGTTAGAAGCCTTGCCTTCATTCCCCCTGGCTTGTCTTGCCAGGAAGGTTAGATACACAAGCATGTTTATTTGATCACTAGGAAGAAAAGGGCAAATCAGCTTCTCTTTGATGAACAAGTAGCTTGAGAACAAGCAAAATACTATGTTTCTAGTACTGCTTTTAATGGAGTAGTAGTAGTACCATTTTCCTTTCCTGATAGGAACCTGCTTACATTTAACCAAACTTCTATTTCATACCCTCTCCCATCACAAATGTTCCTTAGACTTACTTTTCATTTTTAAAGAACTTTTCACTGCCTATACGATGTACTTGTAAGGTTCGTAATTACGTAGCGCTGACGGGAACCACTCTTTCATTGAAAGGTGATGAAAATCAAATAAAGACGATCTTTACAGTGAGAAACACGTGTCCTGCTGTGCTTGTCCAAAGTGGACGTCCATGCTCACTTCACATTCCTTCTCAAAGTTGCTGCTCTTAGCAAGATGCCTGTTTCTCCCTTTTCCCAAAAAGCGCAGGTATTTCTGGGTCTGCTTCAATCCACCTGCATGAAGGTCTGTCCCTAAAACATTGGGAGATGTTCCGATTTAAGTGTAGGGACAGACTGTACCTTGCATCCTACCCACGGGCAGTGCAATACCTGGTGTGTATCACGAACCTCAGATGCAGGCATCTAGGAGGCTGAGGCTCATGGAGCTTAAGTAACTTGCCCAAGGTCACCAGATGGCAGGTAAGTGGGTTGAACTCCAGGGCTCCAAAGCCCGCAGTCATCCCAGTGCTCCACGCCGGTTCTCTGCAGGTGAAGCATGCTTGTTTAATTAATTCGTCAAACCTACAGTACAATCTCAGTTGAGTAACTGGATTGGTGAAATGCTGAAATGTCAAATATTGACTTTTTTTAAATTGCATGTTACATTGGGATTTTTTGTTTCTTTTACTCCCTTCTGTACCTATGGACCGTGCTTTTCCTCCTTCATCTTAGATGCCTCGGACTTCCCAGCTGATTTACCAGAATGCTTCAAGAGGTTTTTATTTTCTATTTAGAAGCAGAAGACCACAGCATCACAACACCAGCCATGGTTGTGTTGGTTTCCTAAGACTGCTACAATACGGCGCCACAAAACAGCTTTCACTGTTGATCCCTCCCATCCAATTTCCACACAACAGAATAATGTTTTAAACATCCATTAAATCATGTCCTTCACCTATGGAAAAACTATTGCTTCCACGTTGGGTGAAGTTGGAACTTCTCACGTTAGTCTATTTACCCACCACTCCCACCACCATCAGACTCTGTAGAGCATCCTGTGGCACACAGTACTTTTTTATCTGTTTGTATACTTGCTTATTGTATATCTCCCCCACTAGACGATAAGCCCCAGGAAGGCAGAGACCATGTTTTCCATTTTTTTTTTGAGTCCAACAGGTAGTTTGTCAACATCCACATAATTTTACATAGAAGTATTCAGAGGCCTTAGCATATGTCATGCACTATGATGGCATGTCAGTTAAGTGCGGGCCTGTGATCCATGTGTGCTTTGGTGCCGGGCACGGCACAGCCCCCTATGCAGGGCTCGGCAGCAGAGCTGTGGGCCGTGTGCTTAGTGCCAATCTGCTGAGTTTCTCACGTCAGCGACTGCTCCTCCTGGGCCGGAATAGGCAGCTGCACTTGTAAAAGATGTTTGTTTTCTTTTAATATACTAAATGGTTGTCCTGTTACCAATAGCATTCAGGCAGGATTGGTGATTTTAAAATAAATATGAAATAAAATTGCAGCCATGGTTTTATTTTGCTTCCGCTGATTATGAATACATATAAAGAGCAGCAGGAATATTAAAATTCTTTTGAATGTACTGCCATCTTTCTTTAGGGAAGTTAAAACACATTGTACGTATCGTCTTTAAGGTTCCCTTGAGGAGTTAGGAAATAGTACAGGTGAATATATTGGGGAAACCTCCACAGAAAGCACCAGAACTTTCTTTGTTGACTAAATTATGGAGCGACTAGACTCTCTGCTCTGTGCTCTGGAGGTCATCTGCCAAGGATGGTTTCCTAAGCTGAGTTAATTGAAAATTGTGATGAATGTTCTTTGGTTTATTTTTTTTTATTAGTTTCAGGTGTACAAAACGATATAATAGTTAGATGATCTTGCAATTCCAGGTGGCCCGTCCCCAGTCTTTCTTCATAAAATACACAATATTGCACACACTCGTACACTCATAACCTCAGAGGCCTGCTTCCTATGTTCCCAGGAACTCCCGATTCTTGCTTCTGAGGTAAACTTCAAAGCCTCAGTAACGCACACTCCCCCGCGCAGGCGCACACAGACCCACACCTCGTGGGTGTTCATTCTCCCAGTTGCTGTGATCAGAAAACACGACTATCTGGGCTGCAGCTAGCTGCAGAGACCTAAACAAAACCCTTAGCTTTACTTCCTGAGTACATCAAAAAGCTTCATCAACAGTTTGGCTGTCTGGGAGCACTTTGACTGCTGACATCAGCATTTTACCACCACACCCAGGGGCGACTTAAACCAACTGAGAATTATTAGGCAAAAATCCTCATAGTTTAAACCTAGGTGATGTGCAAAAGTGCTAATAATGTGAAATCACCTTTTGTGTTTGCAGAACGGTCAGGTCTATAGCCAGGTCAAGCACTCCCAGGATACAGTGAGGACTGCCCTGAAATCTATGAAGTGTTGGTGAAGAAGAAAGAAAAACTAGAAAAAGAGCACAGTTACACAGAAAATGGCCAAGTCAGCAGTCATAACGTAGGTTTATATTCCTTCACACGGAAGGTATCCTGAGAATGATTTGGACATTGGATGTGCATTTCTAAAACATGTGCAATCAAGTTCCTGAAATGCAGCTTGGCTTATTTTTTGAGAATTTTCTGGCAGCCACACAAAGACAAGGAAATGTGCTCCAGAGTTATCGTTTTTTAATTCACTTCATCTTGATCCCAGGGCTCCAGCATCCCTACAAAGACACCTAAAATTTTCAAATCTGACAATATCAAGCATTAGTGAGGACACGTGGCAGTTGACACGTGAGGGCAATTGGAAAATGATTTGGTGTTTACCTAGTAAATGTGAAGATGTGTTCACCCTATGACGCAGCCTTTGTAACCCTAGCATATACCCTAGAGAAACGCTTGTACATGTACCCCAGCAAATGTGTCTAAGGGTGTTCAGAACGAGATGTTTACAAATGACCGGAAACAACCCCACAGTCCATCAATGACAGGAAGTATAAATAATGATGACATCATATAATGCAGATGATAGAATGTTGTAGAGTCATATAATGATGGCAATAATTAATACATTACAATGACAAGTAATCACATGGCGAAGAGGAGGAAATACAGAATGTTGAAAAGCACAAGAAGACACTAGAATGATTCTATTCCTGTAAAGAGCTAGAACGGGCAAAGTATAAAGCACATTTTAGGGGATATAAGCTTTAAAGGAGTTCGGGGGTGGCCGGTTAGCTCAGGTGGTTAGAGCTCAGTGCCCATAACACCAAGGTTGCCGCTTCGATTCCCACATGGGCCAAGGAGCTGCGCCCTCCACAGCTAGATTGAAGACAACTACTTGACTTGGAGCTGATGGGTCCTGGGAAAGCACACTGTTCCCCAATAAAATCCTTTTAAAAAAAAAAGCTTTAAAGGAGTTCAAGAAAGTGCTTAAAACAAAATTCAGGACAGAATCCCCCTGGGGAGTGGAGGAAGGGGCCGCCATGAGGAGGACAACACAGACTTTGATAATAATTGCCTGCTTTTCTCTTAAACTGAGTGACGGTTCAATATTTTGTCACTCTTTAGAAAAAAATATATATTATTATCTAGTCAATATTAATAAATACAAAATTAAAATGAATAGCATTCACATAAAACATCAAAAACCAATTACAAATGCAATTTAAAAACCAATCCCATTTACTATAGCAGCAAACAGTATAAGGCACCTGGGGAAAAAAAATGTAAGAAAATATGTGTACAAACTTTACAGAGAAAATTATAAAACTTTATAAAAGGACATAAAATAATGCCCTATATAAATAAAGAGATAAGCTACATTTATGAATCTCAAGTTAACATAAATTCAGTATATCTAGGGACCATCCCAACAGGATGGATCTTGATATGCGGAACCTAAAATTTATAGAAAAGTATAAAAGACCAATAAATTCTGAAACAGAAGAATAGGGGGAGGGGGATTTCCCAGCAGGTATCAAGACTTGTTATTATATCATAGAAATGAAAAAGCTGGAGTTTGATGCAGGCATTAAAAATAACCAGTGAAGGGCCGGCTGAGTGGCTCAGTTGGTTAAGAGCTCGCTCAAGAGTTTGAGCTCTGAGCAACAGCAGTTCAAGTCCTGGCCCGAGCTGAGCAACCGCTGAGCTTCCAACAGGTGGCAGGATGGCTCAGCTAAAATAAATAAATAAATAAATAAATAAATAAATAAATAAATAAATAAAAGAACATAAAAATAACCAGTGAAATAGAATAGAGCCCAGAAACAGACCCATGGAAATTTGGTAAATTGCTGAGAATATAAGACAAATCGGTGGGAAAATAGTAAATAACACAATTGGTGCCAGGACAACAGGCTATCCACTTAGAAAAAATGAAAAGTTGATCTCTTCCTCATACCACACACAAAAATAAATCCTACAGCGATGACGGCCTTAAGCAAAGCAATATTTTCAAATGTTTAGACGAACACATGGCTGAATATCTTTGTGTTATTAGGATAAGGGAAGAATTTTTAACCAGGATCCAAAGAGTGCATCCAAGAAAGAAAAACATTAAATACAGCAGAAGATTTTAAAAGACACAGTAAATAATGGGCCAGCCGAGTGGCGCATTGGTTAAGAGCTGGCTTGGGACACCAGAGGGTCCCGGTTCGGATCCCACATATGAGGGCCAGTGACACTGCCCTCTACAGCTAAGATGCTGAACAACAGCTCAACCTGGAGTTGGGCTGCTGTGAGTCGCTGGCGAAGGCTTAGGCTGCAGCCCCTGCTGCAGTGGGTTGCCATGGCTACCATGTATAGCCAGCAGCCGCTGTGAGCAGCCATCCAGAAGATGGCGACTGATCTGCCTCGCCCAGGAAGAGCGCAATGATGGTGCCAACTTGGGCCAGTGAAGCGACGTCCTCCACAACTAGACTGAAGAACAAAACGACAGCAACTTGTCTGTTCCCCTTCCCCCAATTCCCAGCGCAGTGCCCATCCCTCAATTCCCCCAATAAAAAAATCTTTAAAAAAAGACACAGTAAATAAAGTTAAAGATACCCCCATAGATTGGAAAAATAATGTGCTCCCCGACAACTGTTCTTATCCAAAATCCTACAAATCGATAAGAAAGATAGAAAAATGGGCAGGACATGGTC